GGACCTCGTGCATGCTAAGCATGAGCTCTACTATTTGAGCTATACCCTCTCCCCTGGATTTTTTAAAAATATCAAACCCTAACTATATCACATGTACAAATACACAAATAGGTTAAAGTCAAAAGATGAGAGACACCATGAAAACACTGATTAAAAGAAAGCTGGAGTAGCCATATTAATATTAGACAACATAGACTTCAAGATAAGCATCACGAGATAAAAAGAGAACATTTAATAAGGGCAGAAACGTCAATTCATCAAGAAGATATAACAATTATACTTGTATATAACTTTAGCAAACATTGACAGAACGGGAGAAATGATAAATTTGCAATTGGAGTTGCAGATTTCAATAGAGTTGACCCTTACACAATGCAGGGGCTAATACCAGGTTAATTTATAGCTGATAATTTATAGTTCTTCTATACCCATGGATTCAGTCAACCATGCACCATGTAGTTCTGTAGTATTTACTATTGAAAAATATTTGTGTATAAGTGGTAGTTCAAACTTTCAACTCTACTCATCTCAGTTCTCGATAGACCAATTACCTCAGCTCATTTGGGCTGCTAGAACAAAATACCATAAACTGGGAGACTTATAAAAAATAGAAATTTCTTATAGTTCTAGATGCTGGGAAATCCAAGATTAAAACACCAACAGATTTGGTGTCTGGTGAGCACTCACCTCCTGGTTCATAGTCATCTGTCTTTTTTGCTATGTCTTCACATTGTGGAAGGGGCAAGGGAGTCTCTGTAGTCTCTTTTATAAGGGCATTAATCCCATTTGTGAGGACTCCATCCTTATGACCTAATCATCTACCAAAGACCTCACCTCCTACCACCATCATATTGAGAATTAGAATTTCAACAGATGAATTTGAGGGGGACACAAACATTCAGTCTACAGCAACACGTAAACAAACCAAAAAAATCAAGAATATAAAAAAAGTGACCAACAGTACAATCAACTCAATCTAATTGATAGTCTATCCAAGTGCACAGAGAATATTCACAAATATACACAGAATATTCACAAAGATAAACCATATGGTGGGCCATAAAATAAGTCTTAAACTAAAAGGATTCAAATTCTATGGAGTTGTTTTCTGGCAAAATGTTAATGAGTTAGTAATTAATAATACATTTTGAGAAAATCCATAACATTGGAAATTAAGCATTACATTTCTAAATAACCCATAAATCAAAAGAGAAATTACAAAGGGAGTTATAATATATTTCAAACTAGAAAAATAAAAATGTATCATACTAAAACTTGTGGGATGCTGCTAATGCAACACTCAGAAGTAAACTTATAGGTCTAAAGGTTTATACTAGAAGAGAAAAATAACATTAATTATCTAAGGTCCAACTTAAAAAGATTTTAAAATGAGGAAATTAAACTCAAAGCATGCAGAAGGAAGGAAATAATAATTAATGGAATATGATATAAAAGGAAATAGTCAAAACATCAGCAAAAACTGGCAACAAGTTAGTTCTTAGAGAAGTTTAATAAATCTGATAAAACCCCAGTAAGACTGATGAAGAGCATGAAAGACAAATAATCAATATCAGGAATGAAAGAGAACATATCTCTACAGATCCTACACACATTAAAATAATAATGAATAAACATTACTAACAATTGCATTCTCATAATTTGACAACTCAGTGAAAGGGACAAATTCCTCAGAATACACCAATGATCAATACTGACTTGATAAGTAGAAAATCTAAATAGCCATATATCTATTGAAGAAAGTGAATTTGTAATTACATATCTTCCCACAAAGAAAACTCCAGGACTAGATGTTTCCTGATGGCTTTATTAGACATCTAAGGAAGATACAATGCCAATCCTAAACAAACACTTCTATAAAACTGGAGGAGGGGAACACAATTTCAGCCTCACTGAGGCTAAGACAAACCTGAGGTCACAACCAGATAAAAACATCCCAAGAAAAGAAAACTGCAGGCTAATATACCTCATGAACATTTGAAGAAAAATCCTTAACACAATATTAGCAAGGCAAAATCCCACAATATATTACAAAATACAACACAAGATGACCAAGTGGGATTTATCTAAGAACACAAGGTTGGTTAATATTCAAATACCAACTAATGAAATTTGTCACATTAGTAAAATGGGGGGGGGGCTATAATAATAACAGGTGCTGAAAATCTTTGATAATCATGATTGAGAGAAGAAAAAAGTCTCACCAACTAGGTACAGAGGAAATCTTAAAGTAGTACCAGCTATAGAAGATTACAACTAATGCTATATATTTAGTGTTTTCTCACTTACATTAGAAAGAAGGCTGGAACGTCCAATCTCACCACTTCTAGTACAGTACTGAATAGAGGATTGAGGCAGTGCAATTAGAAAAAGAAATGAAAGGCATATAGAAGGAATTCAAAGGAAAGCTGTCTTTATTTGCAGATAACATAATAGTGTACACAGAAAATCCTGAAGAATCAAAAACAAAGGATTACAGAACTGAAAAGTGAATTTATCAATATCACAGGATATGTAGACCCAAACATTAAAGTTAAAACTATAAGATGTCTAGGGGAAAAAATAGTAAAAGATTTTTGTGAACTTGGTGTAAACTTTCATACATAGGATAGAGAATTAAGTAACTATTAGAAAACTGAAAAGGTGAACTTCATCAACATACTGTTTAAAAATTTTTTGCTTATCGAAAGACATTGAAAAATGTATAAGCAAACAAAAACTGGCAAAAAATATTCACAATCTGACAAAAGATATACATAGATTATATAATATATATTGCTACCTCTGTATCTTTTACAATATAAAACCCACCCAATAAATAATGGGCAAAAGTTTGTGAACTGACACTTCACAAAAGATACATGCATATAAAAATTTATTCAGCATCTTGAGTCATCAGAAAATAGCAAATAAAAACTACAATGAGACATTATGACACAACTATAAAATGGCTAAACTGAATCCCAAATTTTTGTGACAATACGGATCCCCCAGAACTCTTGTACATTGCTGGTGGGATTGTAAGATATTACCACTCTGGAAAGAGTTCTGGCAATTTCTTAAAGTGTTAAACATATATTTAGTCTACAACAAGCAATTCCCCTCTAAGATTTTACCTAAGAAAAATGAAAATACCTATCTACAAAAAGTCTGTTACAAACTTAATTACAGCAGTTTTATTCGTAACAGCCCGAAACTGGTAGCAGCCCAGGTGTTCATTAAGATGAAGAATGAACTGTGGTGTGTTCACACAATGGAATAATACTTAGCAATAAAAATGAACAAACCACCAATAGATAAGGCAGAAGTATTATGCTGAGTGAGAAGCCTTCACATAAATGTACACTGCTTGGTTTCCTCTATTTAAAGTTAGAGAAGAGGCAGAACTAATCTTTGGTGACAGAAATCAGGACAGCCGTTATCTCTGAGAAGGCAAAATGACTAGAAAGGGGCACAAGGTAACTTTCTCGGGTTGTTGAAATGTCTTGATTACAAGGGCTGCTTACAGGGGTATATGTTTGTAACATCTGGACATTTCACTGTATTTAAACCTTAGTTTTACAGAATCTTAACTTTTATTTGTAGAAATTGGTAAGATGATTTTAAAATCATCTTGAGAACTCAGAAAAGCTAAACAATCCAAAAAAAAAAAGAAAGTAAGATAGACTTACACCAACAGATTTCAATACTTACTCTAAAGCCATGTAATCAAGGCAGTGTGGTGCTGGTAATGAAAGACACATAAATCAGTGGAACAGAACCATGTCTAGAAAGAGCCATGCTTATATAACCAATTGATTTGGGGTCAAGGAACCTAAGCAATTCAGTGAGGGAAAAGACGTGGATTTTTTTCCTTCAGTAAATAGTACTGGAACAAACAGCTATCTGTATGGAGTAAAAATGAACTTCAATTCTTGCCTCACACCACACACAAAAACTAATTCAAAACGAATCATATCTATCAGTATAAAAGCTTAAAACAGTAAGACTGTCAAAAGAAACCACAGGAGAATATCTCTGAAACTTTGAAGTAGACATAGATTTCTCAGATAGGAATGAAAAAGCACTCATCATGAGGAGAAATGTTGATACACTAGACTTTATCAAAATTTTAAAAATTGATAAAAATTAAGTTATTAAGAATAAGCGGGGCACCAACCAGGTGAGAATTCACAAGTATATTCACAAAATATATATCTGCCAATTCTCTGGATCTAAAATATATAAAGAACTTCTTAAACCTCGATCATATTTTTTTAAGACAACCCAATTTTTGGAGTGACTAAAAAGACTTTAACAGGCACTTCGCCAAAGAATATATATGAATGTCCAATAAGCACACGGAAAAAAGGCTCAAAAGCATTAGACACCGAGGAAATGCAAATTAAAACAAAGATGACATACAGCTATGCACACACTATAACGGCTGACACATAAAACACTAACAACATCTAATTCTGATAAGGATGTGAAACAAGACCTCTTGTATGTTAACGTCAGGAAGGCAAGATGGCCAGTTCGGAAACCTGTCTAGCAGTTTCCCATAAAGGTACGCATTCACGTGCTCCGTGACCCAGCAATTCCACTTCTGTGTACAGGCACACCTCAGACACACGGCGGGTTCATTCCAGACCACAATAAAGCCAGTATCTCAGTAAAGCAAGTCACGTAAGTTTTTTGGTTTCCCAGTGCATGTGAGGCAGTGTGCTCAGTGGCCCCACAGTCTCTTGCTTCAACAGTGTTTGGACAGAACAGGCCAGGGACACCCCTTCCTCCAGCCTCCGACCACCCTCCAACGTTTTTTTCCAGTTGCACCAGCCACTCAGCCACCCTCCACCTCCCGGACCAGCCGACACCATTTTTTTGAGCTTAGCTCCTTACTGCCGACCAACCATGAGCTCCTAGTTTCATCACAATCATTCCACCGGGTTGGAGGTCACCATCATCATCCTGGTTAACACGCGTCTGAAGGCCTCCTACACCTACCTCTCTTTGCTTCTATTTCCACCGCCATGATGTGGCTCTGGAGGGTGTGGGCTGCTTTATCCACAAGCTGACCGAGGAAAAGCAGGAGGTCACGAAGCGTCTCTTGAGGATGCAAAACCAGCAGGGTGGACACACTCTCCCAGGACGTGCAGAAGCCCACTCGAGAGGAGTGAGGTAAAACCCAGGGCACTACGGAAGCCGCGACGGTCCTGGAGAAGAACCTGAACCAGGCCTTTTTGAGACAGGCTGAGGCCTGGGGCCCTCTACTGCACTGCTTGCACCTGGACAAACCTCTCCTCCCGCAACAAAATACAAAGAAATTATCAGTTACTAAAAATAACTGTGAGTTTGCGCAGCTGGGGCAAATAGTTAACAACTAGATACAAAAAGACCAAAACCAGCTGCCGCTTCTGGGGGTTGCCCGGGGGAATACGAAAACG